CCAAATAGAATCGTTCGTGGGAAATTTAAGAAATGTTTTCACGCAATGCATATTTTACATAAGTTATATTTTCTTCACGTATCATTGATAATTCATGCTGCTTTATATTGTGTTTCAAAATATATTTTTATGCTTCCGAAATTTCTTATAGTATCACTTTACGAAAAAATTTCTAAAGTATTCCTTTACAGAAAATAACATAGTTTCTAGTAAAAAAGATGAAATGATACAGATAGAGCAATTTCGTCTTTATAGTCGCAAGTCACGAAATGTTTATGTCTTAACATTTCAAAAGGAGACGTATAAAAATATTTACGTTCATAGGAAAGAAACATGAAGTTTCTTTATTTGTTGAGTTGGGAGGGGGATAGTTTGGAATTTGATTCTTAGAACACATCGGAACGTGAATGCGTTGTTTCATTCCGACGAAGTATATCATAAGTCATACAAAATGGTGCTGTTAGGATTGTGCATTTGGTTGTAGTGCGAAAATATGAGATGGAGCTATTGCGCTGATTTAGAAATTTAAGAAAGACGTGACGTCAAAAAGAGGAGTTAGCAATTTAAATTTACGTGTAGAATTGAATTATTTGGTAGTATAAATATTCTGTATGAAGTATGGGTTTCTAGCAGCACCCCTTTATATTATATTGAAAACAGTGGTCTACAGAAATTAATTTTTTTCATAGTTTACTGCAGGTACTGTATTACAAATGTAGTTACGACAATTATTTTTTTTAGCACCTTTCTATTTATATTGAAAACAGTGGTCCGCAAAAATTAATTTTTTTCGTATTTTACTGCAAGTACTATATTACAAATGTAGTTACGAACAATTGTTTTCTTTAGACCTAGTGAGTACAAACTACTTTCAAAACGTAATCAGTATCTAGCTACTTTCAATAGACAAACTTTGGTGAAGGATTTAAATAAAATTGCTGGAGGATCCGAAATTAGAAAATAGTTGAATTTTGAAAGAAACTATTGACAAAGGATTGTTTAGAGCAGTGGTCGGAAAAACTATGTTATTTTTGTAGTTACTACAACTACTTTGTTACAAATGTAGTTAATTGCAACTACAACTACTTTATTACAAATGTAGTTTACAGCAGCAACTACTTTTTTTAAATGTAGTGACTACTAACTACTTTGGAATTATAGTAACTACTTTACTACATTAAGGAGACGAACTTTGCTGAAGAACTTAATTTACGCCTATGTTCAAAATGGTTTTGAGTAAGACATCGGTTTACATTAAATCTAAGGGAATAATTAAGAAATAATTATTCGTGTTTACCTGAGCCAGTTTGCTATTCCGAAACAGTTTTTTCGAATTTGTTCATTTAACTTTTAACTTCTTATGTTTTTATCGGCAGCGAATATTTAATTAAAGAAATTATGAAATACTTGCAATTTTTCAATTGTTTGAATGCTCTTTTATTTCCTCTAAGAAGTTAAGCACATTGAAAATACGTTCCCTTCCTTTTCAATAACATCGTTTCGCGAGTGTGCATTCGCATGTGAAAGCGTGGCAAAAGTGATTAAGTAACTATTTTTCGTAATAGCTTGTTAAAATATTAGTTATACGTGATTTTAAATACGCAATTTCTGTTTGCCCTCAGCTATAGCTACAGGGTCATTTTCCTTTGCATCCATTGACGGAAAGGCAAAGGTTTGTTCCCATCATATTCGAAAGTTTAGCTGCTTTAAAACAGTGTTTCTTTTCTAAGCTAATGAAAGTAGCTGCCATGAATCGTTACAAACAACTGTTGTTTTTTTGTCTCACTACTGGCTACACTTTTTTTAAAAAAAGTAGTAGTTGCTATTGGTTCATGAAATAGGTCGAGCGTTTCCCACACAGAGCAAGGGGAAAAATGTCTTGCTTTTAATTATATGCATACTTGAGCTAAAAATAAATTTAAGAACAGGATGTGGTCTTTAAAAGTGTGAGAAAGTATTTCGCTTAGAATAATTAATTAGGATAACATAAAAAGATTAACAGAAGCTTTTTATGTTACANTATATATATATATATATATATAAATCTAATTAAAGAGCGCCTATTACGAATCATGCAGTAATTTTCATTGTTAAAAGGACTCCGCATTACACTTCTGATATTTTACCACCAAGACTTGGTCTAAGAGATCAAAAAAAATTTTTTTTATATAATTTTTAATTTGTTCATTTGTGTTTAACATGTGTAATTTTTACACTTCCGCATTTTTTCCATCAAAGTATTTTTAGATATGAACCATCAGAATAAAGTTATTTAAAAATAAAGTTAAAATATGCTATAAAAATAATCATAAAATAAATTAAATAAGTCCGTTTAAATAAGTAAAATTAAAAAGGAAGCTTAATAAGTATAATTATAAATAGTAATAGTAATAAATTAAATAAGTATAAAATAAAAAATGTTTATTTCTTCATCTATTAAATATTTTTTTTTGATGGGTAATGTAAATAGTTTTATGTTAAATTATAATTATGGTTGATTTATTTCGGAAAGTAGTATATAAATATTTTTTCTTAGAAATCTAATTAAAGAGAATGTCGATTACGAAACACGTTGTAAACATCAAAGGGTGTATTACCGTTAAGACATAATGGAAAATGTAATTTCAAAAACTTTTATCTAAATTTCAGTTTATACAGTTATGTTTGAATAAATAATTTCCGAAGCTTTATTATTTTATTCCCTCAAAATATATTTAGTTAAGAAGCCTAAAAATGCAAATGTTTTAAAATTCATTTTGTTCATTCAGTTTATTCAGTTATAATTCATGTTAAATTCATTAAGTTATATTATTATAATTCATGTAATTCATTCAGTTTGTTCAGTCATGTATGAAATGAATGAATAATTTCTGAAGCTTTATTTTATTCTGTACTGTTACCTTTAAAACTTTGATTATGCTGCGATCAATAATTTAACTTCGGTAACAGTTACCCAGGTTCAACAAAGAAAATCAACAAAAGAATAACTTGAAACATTTAACAATTAGAACCAATTTTATTAAAACTCTTATTTTCACACAAAAACACATGCAATTAAAAATTTAAGGCTCAACATTCTATTACTTCAAATCCAGAAAAAACAATTAAGAATAAAAGGCATACTTATCTTAAAATCTACTAAAATCAATTAAAAATATAGATCCTAATACTCTCTGAATCCAGTAAACACGATTAAAAATAAAAGGCTTTTCTCAAAATATATATCTTAAATACAGTAGCAACAATGAAAAGTCAGGGTAAATTATTCTTTTAAAACTGTACTAAAATCGAACTTGGAGTTTATAAATTCGAATCAAAATACGGACCAAATCTCTGGAACGCCCACCGGTATTGCCGCCAGACTCGTGGATCAGGTTAACATTCCATTCTCCGATAGACAGCACTCCAACACTTCGAGTTTCTTTGGGCTTCCTTCTAGTAAGGCAGTTAGCACTTACGGACAGACAGCATTGAGACGCTCTGGATAAGAAAACAGATACGCACATAGCGGCTCCGGAACTCAGCTCCTCACTTTCAGTCCTTAACTTAGCGGCTTCGGCTTAACTTTGCTCAAGATTCCCGCTCATTCACTCAGGGGCTCCAACCTAGTCCATTCATTCAGCGACTCTGGCTTTAATACATCATCCTTTCAGCGGTTCCGTCTTAGACCATCTTCTTCAGTGACTCCGGCTTTAATTCATCATCCTCTCAGTCTTAGTCCATCCTCCCTCGGTCACTCTTCACAACCTTTTTCTCTTGTAAGCAAGGCTGAAGAATCTTAGACTGACCTATTTTCCTCCCACGAGCCGCAACGCAACCAGTGAACGTCAGAACAAGAATAAAGTTCCCTTATAAAAACAGTCACAAATTAAATAATACCTCATAAAAGTGATAAGACAATATTAATTAAATATAAATAAACTTAAATACACATAATTCAACCCAAAAATCCCAGTTTGGAAGGATAATTAAAATTTCTAATAAATATCACTATTGTGATTGAATTTCAAATTTATAATGGTGGTGCCACCTGGAGGCAAATCATGTTATACACCATAAACGCTCACAAGAATTAACCAGTGTAGTCATCTATTGAAGAAACAAGCGAACTATTTCCGCTGAAATAGTAACTCATCTTTAAAAGTATTGATCCAAAAAAATAAAAAAAAGTAAAATAAATTTCTATTTATTACAATTCCTTCAAAATATTTTCAGTTATGAAGCTTAAAAATGCAACATTAAGATGTTTTTTTTTAAAAATTCATTTTAACGCATGCTATTAAAATAATTGTTTTAAAAATGACATAATTTTATGAACTTTTCTCCCCTCATTTGTATAAGTCAGAAAGATCAACCCAGTATCCGAAGAAATGAATTCTAAAGAAATTACCATACGGTTATGAAATTTCTGGCAAAGTAAAACATAATTCTGGTTAATATAACCAAATTATAAGGTATTTAATTCATTCATTTGGTAACTATATTCATTCATATGATAACGGTATACTGGGAATTTTGATTTTCAAAATTATAATTAATAAAATAATTAAATTGAAATAGTTCAAAATAATAGTTAATAATAATTTCAAAATAAAAATGCAAAACCGAAAAGTAAACTAAAACGAAGTAATGGTTTTCATGCCATACTCCAATATATCATAATAAAAATACTATATTACTCATATTATAAAGCCATATTTCATTGTTAAGTTTTACCAAAATCACTACCAAAGTGCTTCGGTCAAAATTTGGTCATTCCAAGGAACACAGTAAATTGTAACATACCTCGCTAACTCGAACCTCGATTTCACGAATTTTTTGATATCTCGAAGAAAAAAAATTCCCTTCAAATTTCCTATACACTCAATGTTAAAAAAAATTGATTTAACGATTTTTTTTTCTAATCCCACGATAGTTTGAATTTTTTTTCCATAAATAGTGCAGATTTTTTTTCTAAAATTAAAAAAATATTCTAATAAAAAATTTAAAAAAATTTAGGAATGGCTGACAAGGCATGGAATGATGTGCCTTCCTCTACGATAATGAATGACTTCAAGAAGTCTGGATTCATTAAAGATCACAAAAGTAGTCAAACAATCAATATCGTTAATTCTGCTGATAACTACACCGAAAATGCTTGGAACAGATTGACCGGACTAATGAAATTTCATGACTTTGTAAACGTAGATGATGCAGTAACAGTGTGTGGTCAGTGGGTTGACAATGATATCATCGCTCAAACGAAAGCTTCTTGTGAACTATCAGAAAAAGAGAATGAGGAAATCAAAGATTTACAGCCCAATGTTACTAACAAACAGGCACTTTCTGGAGTGGACACTGTAAGGAGATTTATTGAGAGGCAGTCGAATATGTCAGAAGAGACATTTAAAGGTACAGTTCACTTAGAAAGTGTTATAGACGAACTTTCTTACACTTCTCTAAAGCAAACAACAATTGAATCTTTTTTTAAATGAAAGTGAAAAAAATGTTTTTAGAATAAATATGGAATAATAAATAAGGCATGTAAAGAGCATTTTTCTTTATTCTACCATCGATAACATGCGAATTTCGATAATTCGAATTTTCGATGTCTCGAATTTTTTCTCCTCTAGTTCGAGAGTTTTTTCTCGTTCTAGTTTCCTTCAAGTTCGAGATAACGAGGTTTGACTGTATTTCGGCAGTTTCAACCATGTTCTTTTCCTCAGTGTTTAACTAAATGAAAATATATCAATACAGTTACAGTTACATAATAAAACAATACATTTCTAAATTAAATTTTAAATTTAGGAAAAGTACATACTACTTCATGCATAATGTGAAATAAAATTCCATGTACGATAACAGTCACAAATTACGTAACAACTTTTCATAAGTTTTTATTTCATACATACAAAATAATTTTCTACATGCTTTAATTTCGTTTTTCCTAAAAATAAATCACTGGAAAAGAATGGAAACCTTATAAAAACGTAAAAACCTGTTACTTAATTCTAAACACTAATTATATTCTTGTTTTAACCTGCCATTAACACAACCTCGAACAATTTCAATCTAAAAGTTTATAAGCGAGAAAAAAGTAGTTTTAAAATTATTTTTATTTCCTTAAAATAATGGATAAACGAAGACGCTAACGAAATTCTTTCAAGAACTTTTCCTTTTGTGATACAAAATGGCTATGAATTTTAAATTATCTTCACTCTCTCGAAAGTTCTGAACAACGCATGTTTGAAGTTAAATTATATTTATTTTGCTTGACTGCTTACTTTCGAACTATTCAGAACAAAAGTTAAGCAAAGGAGTTGTTATTTTTAAAAAGGAGGTGTAAGTAGGCAACTTCTCCATAGTTTTCTGAAATAGTTTGGAGATAGTTTGCATTTAACTATTACGAAAATATTTCGTTATTTTAAACTTATGCCTGTATGCTTTTGGTTTTTTTTACTATCTTTTTTTCACATGAAGACAATGCTGATATATATTTTTATATTATTCTGAATCAAATCTAAAATGCAAAACTACGTGTATGAAAATTGACTTGGAGGGTATTTTTTAGAAAAATAAATAGTAATAGTTAGGAATTTATTGTTTTTGAAAGAAATGAAGTTGTAGAAAAATATATTTAAAAAAATTTGAAAAAGTAATTATCTGTGTAAATTTATTATGCATGAGAAATATGAAGCGTAGAAGTATTTTTTTTTAAAAAATAATTTTAACCATTGCTTAAAAGAGGTTCATACATTTCCCTATGCCATAAAAAATAGTCGGGCAATATCTCTCAGAATTCTGCGTTGAACATTAGTATGTATGAGGCTAAATCATATTTCTAGCCATAGATGGCGCCACTGTAAAACAAGAAGAACACCATATGCCTTAGAAATTCGGCTGAATTCAAGCAGTATTGCTGATATTGACAAATGGCCAGATACGGAGCCGCGATGGCTCAAGGGATAGAGCTTTCGCCTTCCAATGAGGTGAACCGGGGTTCGATCCCGGCGATGACTGGTCGATACGAATTCCGAAACAGGCTTGCAGCGACCACAGCGCTGACGTGAAATATCCTCAGTGGTAGACGGATCATGGGTTAGAATCCCCTTGCCGTCAGCTAATCAAAGGAGGCTTTCGTTATTTTTCTCTCCATGAAACGCAAATGCAGGTTAATTCCTTCAAAAAATCCTCCACGAAAGAAAATTTTTCTCAATATTTGATCCACGAGTTTCCTTGTCTTCTGGAGTGAGTTGAGAATTACAAGGCTACGGAGTTGAACATTAATAATCGTAAACCAAAAAAATTGGGTCTGCTGCTCAATGGCGAATACAAAATAAATTAATAAAAGTGGCATCTGTAACAACAACAGTACTTTCCGCCATTTTTGGCTATAAGATAGACCAGTGTTTCCCAAACTTATTACTCTTGTGTACCCTTTCTAAATTTTTCGTAACGCTGTGTATCCTAATAAAAAAATTTATGTATTTTTTACTATGAAAAAAGTTGCACAAAAGTTAAAAATTACAACTGACTCTTGACAATACTAATTATTAACTGTTAACTCAGCAAAAAATAGCCAATAGAAAAATACTTAATTGTAAATTTTCATGGAGAGCTTTGTTTTTAAATAAATTTTTTTTGAAATGCTCTTTTGTTGTAAGATATTCACATAAGACCGGGTACCCCCTCTAGACTGTTCTCGTACCCCTGGGGGTACGCGTACCACACTTTGGGAAACACTGAGATAGACCAAAGTTATTTACATTGTATAATGAAGGTGATGTGGCGTAACTACCACTACAAAAGTTTAACATCATTCACTAGTATATAAAGCATGCTAACTTGATTCTATCAAGAGGTACCTTTTGATAGATGACGGTTGGCATGGTCGATAACTCCGCTCCCCACAGTGACAATGCAACGGATGTTTTTATAAGATGCAACAGATAAACGTAGAAACAAATAACCCTTCACTACAAAAATATTTTCTGCTAAAACAAGATATATTTCGGATATATTTCGTTGGAAAAATTACATTTTTTACGTAACAAATAGATATTTTCTACAAAAAAATAGTTACTTTTCACTAAAAAATCTAAATTTATTTAATACAAATCTAATGTTTTTTTACAAGAAAATTTTATGTTTTTCACTTTAAAAGATAGAAAAGAATTATTACGTAATTTTAATTTTCCATATTAGTAGGTGACAAATATGCTTGCGATATTTTCAAACTTATATTGTAAAATAATTTAAATATGACTTTTTTTTTAAGAATATGAAAAAGTAAGCTGGAATTTTCATCACATAGTAGAATAATGGCAAAATAATATATATATATAAATCTTATGGTGCTCAATCAAAAATATAATTTAAAATTGAATAATGTGTAAATTAATAACTTTATAGCAAAAAGAAGTTGAGAATTAGTTGAATGCACAAAAGCTATAATTTACAAATAAAAATACAACTAGAGTTTCATGAAAAAAAATTCTAAATATGCAATAGCTAAACATAATAAAAATATAAATGCTATGCAGTTAATATTAATGTTTTATTCCATTGCATTTTAGCACTGATCATCCTGCAGATGACTCATAATTACTAATTATTTTAGTTTTGAAATGATAATTGTTAAATAATAAAAAAGTATTTGAAAATAATCATTACAAATTAGAACATATTAATAAATCTAAATAAAATAATTGTAAGAAAATAGATAATAACAGTTGTGCAAAAAGTTATTTAACAGGGAACTTTTTATAAAGTTCTTAAATTATAAAATGGTATAGCTAATAATTGTAATTATATATAAAACAAAAATTGATAATATCATTTAAAGTAATAAGCCAGGGAATAAAATTTCTAAATAATAAAATAGTAGTTATTAATAATTATTCTAAATTGCAAAATTTTAATAAGTCTAAATAAAGTAATAATAAGTTATCAATGTTAAAAACTTATTTAACAGTGAACTTTTTAAAAAGTTCTTAAACTAATTAGAGGATATAGGTAATAATTATCATGAAATATAAAATTAAAATTGATGTAAATAATTTTGAAAAATAAAACTGGCATTAAAAGTTCTAAATAATAAAATAGTAGTCTGTATAATAAACAAACAACGCTTAGTAAAACAAACAATAATAATTGTAAAGAAATTTATTAATAGAAAACTCTTTAAGAGGTTATTAAACTAATTAATGGATATAACCATTAATTGCTATAAAATATGAAACTATGTGATATTAATAATTTTGAAAAATAAAACTGGCAATAAAAGTACCAAATAAAATAAATAGTTGTCCGTACAATAAAACAGAAAATGTATAGTAAAACAAACAGCGATAATTGTGAAAGAAGTTATTTAACAGAGAACTCTTTAAAAAGTTATTAAACTATTCCCCCTCCCTTGAGTACCAGAATACTTTTCCGATCATTTTCAGCTCTCCAGTTGCATTTCCCAATTGGCAACTCTTTTCTCTAATGGCCAAAACTAAAGTTTTTTTCCCCAATACTTCGAAACTTTTAAAAAAAAATAATAAAAAAACCTAAATATGACAAATTTTTATTGACTGGTTAGAAATAATGATGTATCAAACAATATTTTATAGATTTTTCTTAAATTGCCATATAAAATAAAAATATATGTTACTTTTTCATCCTATATATAGTGGTTTAAGACATTAAGAGATAATGCAAACTTAGTCGATTATCTATAGGACTACTGGACAAATTGCAATGAAATTTGATATGTACGCACACTGTTACACTACAAAGCAAAAAATAATTCAAGAAATGTAATACACACCCATGATCGTGCGTAACACTCGTTGGAGTAAGAAGGTATGAAGCAGTGGTTGCAGAATAAACAAAAAGAAAAGTGAGTTAATATATGGTCCCCTCTTGCAGATATACAGGCCTTGCAGTGTTATTTCATACTTGAAATAAGAATGTTTATCATTTCATGTGGCAATCGGCAATTTCCTGTGGCAATAGTTCTAAAGATAATCGACCAAGTCTACAAATTCTCTTAATTCCTTACATCAAGTGTAGTTTGCATAAGCACCCGGTTTCGCCACACCAGGGATCGATGATTTGACTTTTTCTTCAAAAAAATCATTTATGAAAAAAGCAGTGCGTCTATGATTTTCCAATATTTTTAACTACTAAACTACGGAATCTTGGTTAAATCTAACAGTTTTAGGATCGAACTTATTAGTTAGAGCAGACCCCACACCCACGCATACTATCTGTTAACTTTCTTTTATGATGGCGGCCGCAAGAAGTAATTTTCGCTATAGAACGAATTCGCCATTTTTAAGTCAGCATGTTTCATAACTAATCTTGACAACTTTAACATTAATCCAAACACTTGTAATAATATATTTATAATAGTATATTAATAT